ACTGGAAAAACCATAGCCTTGACTAGACGGACCTTTGCTGGCAAAGTAATGTCTCTGCTTTTTAATATGCTGTCTAGGTTGGTCATAACTTTCCTTCCAAGGAGTAAGCGTCTTTTAATTTCATGGCTGCAATCACCATCTGCAGTGATTTTGGAGCCCAGAAAAATAAAGTCAGCCACTGTTTCCACTGTTTCCTCATCTACCTGCCATGAAGTGATGGGACCGGATGCCATGATCTTAGTTTTCTGAATGTTGAGCTTTAAGCCAACTTTCACTCTCGTCTTTCACTTTCATCAAGAGGCTCTTTAGTTCTTCACTTTCTGCCATAAGGGTGGTGTCGTCTACATATCTGAGGTTATTGGTATTTCTCCCAGCAATCTTGATTCCAGCTTGTGCTTCCTCCAGCCCAACATTTCTCATGATGTACTCACATATAAGTTAAATAACCAGGGTGACAATATACAGCCTTACAGAAATTTACCTGATTTTAGTATATTAACTTTATATCCTGCCATGTGCATGGTCAGTCACTCAGTCATGTGTGACTCTGTGACCCCATGGACTGTAGCCCACCAGGCTCCTCTGTCCATGGAATTTTCCAGGCAAGAATACTGGAGCAGGTTGCCATTTCCTACTCCAGGGGATCTTCCCAACTCAAGGATCAAACCCACATCTTCTGGGGCTCCTGCACTGGCAGGAAGATTCTTTACCACTAATGCCACCTGGGAAGCTGCAGTAGAAGATCACTCAGCCATGAAAAAGAATGCAAGAATGAAATAATGCCATTTGAAGCAACATGGATGGACCTAGATGTTATCATAGTAAGTGAAGTAAGTCAGACAAAGACAAATATCATATGCCATCACTTATATGTGGAATCTAAAAAAGATACAAATGAACTTATTTACAGAATAGAAACAGACTCACAGACAAAGAAAACAAATTTATGGTTACCAAAGGGGAAACAAGGGGAGGGATAAGTTAGGAGTTTGGGATTAACAGATAAAATTGCCTGTATCTAAAATAGATAAACAATGAGGTCCTACTGTATGGCACAAGGAATTATATTCAATATCTTGTAATAAACTGTAATGGAAAATCTGAAGAGAATATATATATTATATATATATATCTTCACTAAAAAATGGGTAAAAGACTTAATAGACATTTCTCTAAAGAGAGTATTCAGTTTAGTTCAGTCACTCAGTCATGTCCAACTCTTTGCGACCGCATGGACTGCATCACGCCAGACTTCCCTGTCCATCACCAACTCCTGGAGTTTACCCAAACTCATGTCCATTGAGTTGGTGATGCCATCCAACCATCTCATCCTCTGTTGTCCCCTTCTCCTCCCGCCTTTAGTTTTCCCCAGCATCAGGGTCTTTTCCAACTAGTTGGTTCTTCGCATCAAGTGGCCAAAGTATTGGAGTTTCAGCTTCAGCATCAGTTCTTCCAATGAATATTCAGGACTGATTTCCTTTAGGATTGACAGGTTGGATCTCGTTGCAATCCAAGGGACACTCAAGAGTTTTCTCCAACACCACTGTTCAAAAGCATTAATTTTTCTGCGCTCAGCTTTCTTTATAGTCCAACTCTCACATCCATACATGACTACTGGCAAAACCATAGCTTTGACTAGACGGACATTTGTTGGCAAAGTAGTGTCTCTGCTTTTTAATATGCTGTCTAGGTTGGTCATAGCTTTTTTCCCAAGGAGCAAGCATCTTTTAGTTTCATGGCTTCAGTCACCATCTGCAGTGATTTTGGAGCTGAAGAAAATACAGTCTCTCACTGTTTCCATTGTTTTCCCATCTATTTTCATGAAGTGATGGGACTGGATGCTATGATCTTAGTTTTCTGAATGTTGAATTCTAAGCCAACTTTTTCACTCTCCTCTTTCACTTTCATCAAGAGGCTCTTTAGTTCTTTGCTTTCTGCCATAAGGGTGGGTGTCATCTGCGTATCCGAGGTTATTGATATTACTCCGACCAATCTCGATTCCAGCTTGTGTTTCATAAAGGCCAATAAGCATATGAAAAGATATCTTGCATCAAGAATCATAATGGAAATGCAAATCAAAACTACACTGAGATACCACTTCATACCGTTAGAATGTCATTCATCACAAATACAGAAAACAAGGAGAGGATGTGGAGGAATTAGAACATTTGATGGCTGTTGATGGCTTGTAAAATGGTCCAACTGCTGTGGAAAACAGTTATAGTGGTTTCTTAAAAAACTAAACATAGAATTATCATATGATCCAACAATTCCACTTCTGGATATATACCCAAAATAACTGAAAGCAGGAATCATGATTAGCTATTTGTATACCCACAGTCATAGCAGCATTTTTCACTAGGTAAAATATGGGTGCAGTCCAAATGCCAGTCTACAGATAAAGGGCAAGGTAAAATTTGGTATATAAATATGCAATGGAATATTCAGCTTTAAAAAAGAAGGGAATTCTAATTTCCTTCGTACCATCAGGATATTATGCTAAGTGAAATAAGCCCATCACAAAAAGAAAAATACTATATAATTCCACTTATATGAGTTACTTGGAGTAATCAAAATCAGAGACAGAAAGCAGATTGAAATGGGAGTTGTTTAATGGGTATAGAATTTCAGTCTTTCAGGATAAAAAGAGTTATAGAAACGGATTGTCATGGTTTCACAACATCAACGTATTTTTTGACAATTCCTCATTTTATCAATGTATTTAATACTACTTAACTACACTTAAAATCGTTAAGATGGTAAATTTGTTAGGTTTATTTTACCAGAATAAAAAAAAAATAGAAAAGAAAATTGTCCACAGGGGAACTCCAAACTAAGAGAATATTTTCACATATTGACTCTACCTATCTTATTTAGGGTGAGAGGAGGTAGTTCTTTCCTCCCGAGATGGGTAGAAGGTTGACTTGTATAACCATATTGTGGGTTCAGGGAGACAAAACCTCAACTCAGTAACCAATATAAATGTTTTAATTATTATTCTTCCTGTTTGTCTTCTTTAAAGTCATCCCATAGATAAAACAAAAATGCTTACTTCCCTGCCCCCACCGCCGCAGATGGAACAAAAAAACTTCTGGGTCAGGAATGTTTTGACTACGTGCTTGCTTTATACATTACAATTCTATTTGTTATATGTGTACTTTAATACATAGTGAAGCTGAATATTCTTCTGATAGTTTCATGCTCAGTTTTCTATTCTGGTTTTATATTTTTGGCTTCTCTTTGCTACCTTAGGATTTTTCCTTATATACAAGCCCCTCGACACTTATTTCAATTTGTCTGACCTTTGAGGAAGAGTTTTTATACATATTCAGTTTCTACCCGGCTGGAATTGTTAGCTTGGATGACAGCAAAACAAAACAAAACAAAACAAAAAACAGAACTGACGGGGACTTTTGCTTCATGCCAGGATGTGGTAAAGAGACTGGATTCACCCTGTCACGTTAAACAAACAAACAAAAATAGACAAAATGTATGGAAAAAAAGGTGTATCCCTCTCCTTTTAATGCTATAACAAATTACCACAAACTGTGGCTTAAAGTAATGCCAACTTATTTTGCATTTCTGATAGTCAGAGTCTGAAATGGATCTCACTGGGCTGAAACTGAAGTGTTTGCAGGAAGATTTAGGGGAGAATCTGTTTCCTTGATTTTTCTAGGTTGTGAGGCTGGAAAAGTGGCTTATGCATTCATTGACATAGCTCCCTTCCATCTTCAGACAGCTCTGCCGCTGTCTTCACATCTCCTCTGACTCTTAACCCTCTTCTTCCACTTATAAGGATGCTTGTTATGACCTTGTTAAATCAATATTTCCTAATTAGAGCAGAAAGTGTGCAATGGTGAGCCACAGTTCAGCAACAGGCTACCAGAAAAGTTGAAATACATTTTATTCTCTAGGAAGTACATGACATCCCTTGAGAAGCTACATATTGAAGTCGAAGTGAAGGTGGGGAAGGCTATAGGGCCCAGGGCACATGCCTCGATTTTAGGATCTGTGGGTGGAATGCTTTGGGCTTTCTGGCTCAGACCAGAGTGGTCAATTCAAACCAAAAAAAGCTGGGTTCTCGTCATTTTTTCAGAGGTCTTATCTAAAGGGCATTCAAGGAGATGGCCATGAGAGGCGGGGGAGAGGTTGGGAAAACTCATATCAAGAACTCACAATTGTTTGTGACTCCGCGGGGTCTTAAACTGATATTAGCCCCCCTCATGCAAGTACATGCCCTGGATAACAGCCCGCAGCAGATATATTACATTAAGAAGAAGAAAGATGGAAAAACCCAAGACATTTCTTGTTGGAAATTATACAAAGTAGAAGGTGGTGAAGTACTATATGTGAAACACTAAAAGAAAAAAAAAAATCCTGTCAACCTCGCCTTCTAAACTCATTGAAAATATCTTTCAAAAAGGAAGGCAAGATACTTTGCCATATATACAAAGCTGAAAGAATTTAATGCCTGCAAAATTGTGCTGCAAGAAATACTAAAATAAATCCCCTAAGCAGAAGGAGACTGATAACAAGATGAAAACCTAAAACTACACAAAGGAATGAAGAGCACTGGAAATGGTGAAAATGTGGGTAAATATAAATATGCTTTTCTTCCTATTTAAGATATTAAAATATATATATAATTGGCTGGCCAGCCTCAAGAGACTACTTATTATATGAGTCTATTTATCTGAAATGTCCAGAAGAGATATGTCTGTAGAGACAGAAAGTAGATTAGTGGTTGTCAGGCACTGGCGAGGGGTTGGGGGGGGGATAGGGAGAAAATGGAGAGTGACTGCTAATGGGTATGGGGTTTCCTTTTAGGGTGATGAAAATGTTCTAAAGTTGACAGTGATAAAAATTGCACAACTCTATAAATACACTAAAGACCACATATAGGCTGCTTTTCCGGCCAGTACAGAGCTGCTTGGAGGCTGGTAGGGGTGGTGAGGCCCGAAGCAGCTTCTGGAATTTCTGAGCAGCCCTGGTCAGACAAGATGGACCCAGTGGTCTTGAGTTACATGGACAGTCTGCTGCGGCAGTCGGACGTCTCACTGCTGGACCCCCCGAGCTGGCTCAATGACCATGTTATCGGGTTTGCCTTTGAGTACTTTGCCAACAGTCAGTTTCATGACTGCTCTGACCACGTCTGCTTCATCAGCCCCGAAGTCAGTCAGTTCATCAAGTGCACTGGCAGCCCAACAGAGATCGCCATGTTCCTTGAACCCTTGGACCTCCCCAGTAAGAGAGTTATATTCTTAGCCATCAATGATAATTCCAACCACGCAGCTGGGGGAACCCACTGGAACTTGTTGGTTTATCTGCAAGATAAAAATGGCTTTTTTCATTATGATTCTTATGGTAGTAGTAACACATTCCATGCAAAACAGGTAGCAGAGAAACTAGAGGCTTTCTTAGGCAGAAAAGGAAACAAACTGGCCTTTGTGGAAGAGAAAGCCCCTGCTCAACAAAACAGCTATGACTGTGGGATGTACGTGATATGTAACACTGAGGCCTTGTGTCAGAACTTCTTTAGACAACAGCCAGAATCACTACTGCAGCTACTCACTCCTACATACATCACAAAGAAGAGAGAAGAATGGAAAGATCTCATTGCCAGACTTGCTAAAAATTAGCTGTTGAAATATATTTGACTTTTGAAGTCTCTTTCTGCCTGTCCCCATGTATTGGATGGCTGAAGTCTCAGTGCCTGAGGGAAGATGCCTGAGAGAGGAAAGCTTAGAATGCTTACTGTCTCCTGAGAGAATGTCGTCCTCCACATTATCCTAATGGAAAGTGCCACTTTAACCCTAACTTCAGAGCAATATGTTCTGTGAAGATGTCTTCAAAATATGCACCAAAACTGATTAATTCCCTTTTGGGCTCCCTTATCCACATTGGTTTAGTCCAAAGAAAAAAGATTGATCTGTAAAACAAATTAAGAATATGTGAAATTTACAAGCAAGAAGAAAATCATAGAGCAACCAAAAACTTAGTGCACAGCCCACATATTTCAAGAGATCAACTAGCTGGAAGCAGATCAAGACCTAACCTAATTCAAGATTGAAGTTTTATCAGTTACTCAGTTCTGTGATACCTCTTCTATTCAACAAGCAAAGGCTTTCCCAGCTATAACCTTTGCCAATACTTGATAAAGATGGTGTTAGCCCATAGTCACCCATCTAATTCCTGGAGCACTTTAAGAAAAGGGGAATCTTGAATAACCTTGTTAAAATTAATGTCTGTGGTGGACCTCTTGTTTTGCGTCTGAAACTTAAAGTTCCTTTATTTTTGAGATACAAAGGAGAAAAAGTGACCTTTCTCAACTCTTTCACTTAATTCAAAATGCAGACAATGTAATTTTTGAAGTGTGGAACCAAGAGTAAAATGAAATGCTATTCCTTCTAAAAAAAAAAAAAAAAGACCACATATATTGTGTTGCTGCCCGATATTTGCTGTACTAAGTGGGCTGTAGTATGTAAGGACTCTAAAGTATGGCCAAGGGAAAGAGTAAAAATTATATAGGGTGTTAACTTCTTGCACAAAGAAATGGAAAATTCTGTTACATGTCAGACTTAACACTCCTAAATGAATGTCATATTTACCTCATGTCCTGATATGTACATATCCTAACATTACACTTAATATTTGCATAAAACGCAAACATTTATCTAATATTTGCTGATGATAAATTGTACAGAAGAGCAGTCCTGCAAATTGTAGCCAAGGTCAAGGTTTTTTTGCTCCCTGATTGTTCGCTTCTGTGTAGTGCAGCATTCTTGCCATTAGGTGGCAGTCGAAATCAAGGCAATGATTAAACTGTCCTACCTTAGGGTGTACAAATGATTTATAATTTATATTATTCAAAAAAATTTTATATTATTCAGTGGACATGTTTCTGAGAAGTCTTGTGAAAATTGAAAGACACTGTAAATAATCCAACATTTTTTGAAACCAGAGTTATTTGACAAGGCAAATCAGCTCCCATAAGAGATAAGTTCTTTTTTTAAAGAAATAAGCTTTCTAAAAACTGAAGTATCATATACACAAAATATACAAAGTTAAGTATTGCCAATTGGAAGTATCACTATAAAGTGAAAACACTTGTATAAGCATCACCCAGATAAAGTGAAAGTACACTACCAGTATCTCAGAAGACCCCCTTGAGTTCCCTCCCAATCATTACCCTCTTCTTCCCAGAGTTAAAACATTATCTAGACCTCTAACATTATATTTAGTTTGTCTTGCTTTGAGAAAATATACCAGTGTAATTGTGTATTATATATTCTTTGTGTCTGGCTTCGTTCAATATTTTTGTTACTTTTACTTGTTGATGTATTTCATTCTTTTTTTCAATAATTTATTTTATTATATTAATGTACTTCTATTTATCCATTCTACTACTGAAGGAAATTTGGGTTGTTTCTGGTTAGCTGTTAGAAATAATTGCTGCTATGTACATACTTGTAGATGCTTTTTGTTGCACATCTGAATGAATTATTTTGAGTAGATATCTATAAGTAGAATTATTGAGTCATATAGCATGTGATAGCCCATTGTTCCACATTTTTACCAACATTTGGTATTATTAACCTTTTAAATTTTAACCATTCTGATATACATGTAGCAGTTTTTCATTGTGGGGTTTAATATGCATGTCTCTGTTATCTAGTGAAGTTAAACACTTTTTATGTACTTATAGACTATATGAATATTTTCTTAAGTGAAGTGCTGATTCAGGTAATTTGCCATTTTTCTATCATGTGGTCTCTTATTGTTTTATAGCTCCTTACATAGTCTAGATATAAGTCTTTTGTTGGGCATATGTATTGCTAATATATTCCTTCATTCTAGGCTTTTCATTGTCTTAGGAGAACTTTTTGATAAATTTTAATGTACTCTAATTAATCATTTTTTTCCTTTATGGTTAGTGCTTTTTGTATCCTATTTAAAAGATTTCCACCTGTACTGTCATGAAGATGATCTTATATGGTATGTTCTAGAACTTTCATTATATTAATTTTCACAGATCAAAAGTCTACCTGGAATTGGATTTTGTGTATATCATATGAAGTAGGGGTCAGATTTATTTTTTTTTCCATGTGGGTATTTAGGTGATGCAGCACCATTTTTGAAAGAGGCTGTAGCTTTTCTACTCTGCAGTGCTAACTTGGATGTTTTATGTTCAGATTTTTTAAAGCTGTATCAAATTTGTGTAAAATAGAGTATGTTCATATTTTACAAAGTTCATCATTTGGTAGAGCTTTCTGGGGAAAAATGTCATTAAAATCCTTTAACGTGTAGACAGTTGTACAACTTTGACAAAACCTGAGCACATTTGATTATAATAGGGTATAGTTTCATCATTATCCAAAATGTATTGCATTTTCTGGGGAGTTTAAAACTTTCCTTTCTTGGGGGAATTTAAAGTAAAGGATTTTTCACAATTTTCTTGAAGTGAAGCAGATTATATAGACTTAGAGATGAACCTGTTGATACTTTAAAATCAATTAATCAACCTCAAAGCTTGCATTAAACTTTCTTGTTAGCTGATCTGAGATAAACTTTTGAAGATTTTAGTTACCATGAAGTTGGGGAAGTATGAACAGATTCAAGCATTAGAAAGCAAACATAATAATGTAAATAATATATATTAAAAATAATATAAAATCAAATGTTTTCACTCCTACCTCTTCATAGTAGGCTTGGTAAAGAATGAAGAAAACAAACCATGAATTCTGTCCCCAGATGTTTGAAATACAAGATTGTGTGGTTTTCAACAAGAGGTGTTATATTCTAAAATTATTTCTGTACTTTATATCTTTTATTCTTTATTGTAGATTAACTCATTTACTATTTCTTGAAATTTATGATTATATGTTTTCATAGATGGTCTTATCTGGCTGTCTTTCTATTTAAGGCTTGCCAAATTATCTCTTGTACTTAAATACATTTAAATCTATATCTGCAAGTATACTTCCTTAGAAAAGCAGCAATGGAAAAAGATAACTTGTTTAGATTAGAAATTTGGGAGTCATAGTTGAATTGACTTTCTCTACACTTAAAAATAATCAGCCTTAAGCTTGCTTCATTTTTTTTTGTTTGTTTTTTGTTTTCTTCATGGTTAATAAGCCCTTAACTCACCTCTGCTGATCTTTTGCCAGGAATGTGGAAGTCATTGTTGCTTTCATGGGCTTTCTGAATTCTTTTCATTAATTTTTAAACACTTTCTTTTAATCTGGATTTCTGAACAAGTTTTAAAATTGTAACAAACTGATGTCATTTTCACATGCCATTTAAAAAAACTTTCAAGTTTGAGGGAATTTATTCATTTTTTAAAAATCTATAAACATTTCTGTGAATTTAACAAGTCTAAAATAATTAGCTCTTACCAGTTCTTTTCCTGTACAGAAAAGTGCAGTTAGGAACATTATTTCATAAATAACTTTCACTTTAAGATTTCTTTTAAATCATTTTAATTCCAGTTTATTGGTAATTTGAAAGCAAACAAATTAAGAATGAGATAACAGGTATTTGACATAAAATAATCTAAGAATCAATGCTGGAAATATGATTCACCTATATCTACAGGCAACTTTAAAGCTTATTTATTCTTTAAATAATAATGGATTCTTGTTTAATTTGATCCATTATTTAATTGAATCTTATTATTTAATCCATTATTATCCGGAAACTTTCATATCCATTTACTAATGTTAATTGAGTACCTATTCTGTGCCGAGAATGAATCTGTCCTCAAAGAAGACAGATAAGTAAGAAGACTGAGTTATAATCTGCTTAGAGGACAGTAAGAACATACAAAGAAGCATCAAGTTCAAAGTCAGGAGAGTAAAAGAAGAGGGCAAGGGAGATTCACAGAAGACTTCTCAGAGTCAGCACGCATGAGATTTGCCCTTCAGATCTTGTAAGAGTTAACCAGCTGGAGAGGGACACACGCCAGAGGCTTGATAGGGTACCCAGGCAGTTGTGCAACTACCCACAGCTGGGTATGGCTGGAGTTTAGGAACACGGGCCCAGGAAAGAGAGAGAGGGGCAGAGGGGTAGTTGGGGGCCATATATATCATGAAGTTTCTTGAATATTATCACTCTAGAGAAAATACAAAATTCACAGTTCTGTAAAATTTTTTTTTCTTAAAAATGTGCACTTAGGGTTTTAGTGTGACTATCCTTCTTGTGTCTTTTAACCAACAAAATATTTAGGATCCATCATGGGAAAATTTGGATCACTGTCTTCCAAAGAATAAAGGAAATACTACCCATAATGACCTCAGAAAATTAAATATGAAAGCTGAAGGAGAATTTGTAAGAATGCCCAGAAAAAAAAAAAAAAAGAATGCCCAGTACTACCGTCAATAGAAGAATACCAGACACTATTTTCTAGGGCACAGGTTCATAATAAGGTCCAGAGTTGTTTTTGTAAATGAGTCAAATGCATTGCATACATTGTGGTGCAGTCATGTAATTTGTGGCATTCCTTTCCTCTGGGCACAGTGGACCAGAAATAGAACGCTAAGAAAAGGGAATAAAAATTAATTTTTTTCTCAGCATTTGTGTTTGCCAATTTTGCTGAAATGGAGAGAGCAGGGGTAAAGAAGAGACACCATATTTTAAGGCT